TGACAACCACCTATCTAAAATCGATGAAAATTTTGTTATTTTAATTATACAGGGATATAGAATCAGAATAAAAAAAAATTTCATCAATTTTAGATAGATAGTTGTTGAGATATCTTCGCTAAAAGTTTTAAAAAAATTTGCCGCAGCTTTAATAGTTATCCAGGTTTTTTCTAAATTTTGAGCAAAGATATCTCGACAACCACCTATCTAAAATCAATTATATGCCAGTATAATTATAATTTTTTTTTTTTACGTTTATTACATTTAATATAAAAAAAATTCACACACTAAAAAGAACAGAATCGACACCAAATATCCAATTAAACTAGCCTAACCACTAACAAAAACGATAATGAAGCACAACCAAAAGCAAAATCGCAAACGAATATCAACAAAAGCAATACCAGTAAGCATTAGTACACCAGCGAAGCAATGGCAAAACACCAAGAAATGACAATACGCAGTGCACTCGAAGTACAAAACACCAAGAAACGATGATGCACGGCGCACCCAAAGCACTGGAAAAACACCAAGAAACGATGATACAAAGTAACGGCAAAACACCAAGAACCGACGATACACAATGCACCAGAAAAACGACCACACTATCAAAATCAAAGGCAGCATCAGATGGCACAATCACAAACGATGGCAGTAAAATATAAAACAAAAAACAGGTTAATATACTGTATAAAAAAAAAAAAAACCCTAAAAAAACCCACCATATCCAACCGCCAGTTTTCGGACCCAACGAAACAAGACAAGGCATGTATGCAAGACCACCCACCAGAAGAATGCTGCCCATGACCCAACGAAACAAGACAAGGCCCGTATATAAAAAGAACATCTAAAAAGGTAAAAGAATTAGTAAAGAATTGTTCGAATATCAAAAAAAAAAAAAAAAAACTAAACACGAAAAGGCTACTTCACACACGAGTATACACACGAAACCACACAAGACAACTATAGAAAAATGTGCAAGACCACCTACCGGAGAAACATACAGGACCCACCCGATGGAGAAACGTACAAGACCACCAACGGAAAAAGATACAAGACCACCCA